TTCTTCTGGGGAGAAAAACACTTACAGAGAAAATAAAGTTAACAGCTGAAATTGCACAAAATAGTACAGTTAAAGAGCAGACTGTAGAATAAAGCAGTAGAGTGTGAAAAGTGGTCAGTGTGTCCTCCAGCAGTCTAAGCCTATAGCAGCATAACTACAGAGTTAACTCTGGATAATCTATCCTATTTAGATGTAGGCATGTTGGAGGCAGGGCAAGGGAGAGCCGTCTTTACCGACTGTACACTCCACCTCCCTGTAATCCCCCACTTTCCCAGATTTAGGCTAACATCAGATTTTAACTATAGGCCCTATCAAATAAAAATGTTTTAAGCCTATTCTTAAAAGTAGACAAAGTGTCTGCCTCACGGACTAAAGCTGGGAGCTGGTTCCACAGGAGAGGAGCCTGATAACTAAAAGATCTGCCTCCCATCCTAAGTTTAGATATTCTTGGAACCACCAGTAGACCTGCAGTCTGAGAGCGAAGTGCTCGGTTAGGAACATATGGAACAATCAGATTACTGATGTGTGATGGACCTTGATTATTAAGAGCTTTATATGTGATCATGGCATGAATTTAGACAGTGCTCTTAATTTAGTGGTACAAAGAAAAGTGACCCTTGTACCCCCACAGGGGTCCCACGACTATTCCACAAAAGGACCAGGAGATTGAGCAGGTGGTCACAGACTCAGAGCAAACCTTCCCTGCTTGGCTAGGCAGTGCTGTCGCCAAGACAACTCCATCTGGTCCTTTAAATCCAGAAGTTTCGTGAGGAATCCTGTTAAAAAAGTAGAAATAGGATAATCAAGTCTGATGCATTTGGCAATAAAGGGATGAAAACACTGATAAGAGGGATTTAATATTAAAACTACAATTTAAAGGAAGCATGGAGTGCAAAACTCCCCTTTTGTCTCCTTTTGTTTTATTTTTCCTGCCATGTGGGTCTCTACTGCCTCTATAAACACTCTAAATGGGAAAAATCTGCTGATCTGTTGTTTGTTGTTGTTTTAGGAATTATCTGCCTAAAACGAGTCATTTCCATTTTGTGATGTCACAGACAGGAAAATTAGGACAGGGAAACTAAAACATGGTTGATACTGGCCCTCCAGAACCAGGATTGGGCAACCCTTGTATAACGGATTTTGCTTCAAAGAATGTCATAAACACATTTGGTATCAACCATAGAAGTTATAATATGACCCCTTCTTGGATGTAGCTAATTATTGGCCATGTAAGTTTGATTTTTGTACATGTTGAGGACATTTACTAACTCCAACCCCTGATTTCATTTGGACAACAGTACTTGATTTCTAAATTTCACACGTTTCGTCTGCAAATTAAAAGAAGAAATAATTCTACACCTTCAAGCGCTGGAGTTCTGTTGGTAGTAACTGAACTTGCATCGTTAAAAGGTAAAAAAAAATGTATATATAAATCACCTTAAATCTAACAAATGCATGCAATTAAGGTTGGGAGAAAGATTCAGATGTCGGTTTGAATGAATGTGCTCATTAGTGTTGTGTGTGTTAAACCCAAGCTGCAATACAAGCAGCTTTTAACTAAATGTGTTTGCACTGTGCCTCAAAAACATTACTGCATTATTATAGCTTTAAAGCTTCAACATACTTTGTTTTTATTTGATCCTATAGAAAAAACCTCTGCATACGCCTTTGCAAAAATCTTCAGATGTCAGAACCTGACACACTAATAAAAAGTAGGTAAATACAATTTTAAAAATAATCTAATTAATGTTGTACTTTTTCTCCCATGTCAACATTTCCATTATTACAGGTGTCTCCAAGGTGCGGCCCAGGGGCCCTTTGCGGCCCTCAGAGTGATTTTGCGTGGTCCTCACTAACGTTTTTAGAATTGTGGAATTAAGTCTCTCTAGGAGGTTGCTGATATAAATTTTAATTAATTTAATATTTTATGTTCAAAATGTTACTAAAATGTCTATTTAAGCCTTTTTTGCAGAACAAATTAAAAATATAAATAGCGGTGCATCCTTAAAGTGACAGTGTGCATATTTCCTGGCGATAGGAGGCAGTATATACCTAAATCATTGCAAGCAAGCAGTATTTGGTTGTATTTGGTTGTACGACCTCACCAATGGATGCCCATTAGGGTCAAAAAGCCCTGGGGAGTGCAAACTTTAGCAAAATAGCAAGCACATAAGACTCCCTTTCATCAATGGCAACAAGAGAAGAGGTAAATTTGTAAAACAACATTTAACCCTTTGATGCATGAATTATGAAATCTTCAACCATGATTTTTTTAACAATTTTTTTCATTCGTCTTTAGGTGTGAATGAAACAAATTTCAACAAATATTTCTTGTAAAATTTTATAATTTACAAATAATTTATTACATGTCCACCTCAGTGGACAGCGTGTATTCTGATCATGAAATATGTTGGCTTGGCTTACTGAAGTCCAAATGGAGGGGCTCAAATGCAATAAAGTCTTCAACAGCTGTGCTTAATAGCAAAAACAAATAAATAACAATTTTGAGCACCTGTCCACTGTAGTGACCATTATGCACCAAAGGGTTAAGAATGATGAAGTTTTTGTAACCGTTTGTTACAAATCAGTAAATGCATGTTGTCCTCATGGGTTCCCGTAGAAGGAAACATGGCTTCTAATATGGCGTCACCCAGATACTTAGACCCGCTCCCATGTTTTTTAGACCAGATTTTTATGGTTACATGTTAAGAAGCCGCTAATATTTTTCCAACAACCAGGCATCATTTCATTCACTTTCAACAACATTTTGATGGATATTTCCAGAAATTAAAGGGGCATTATGGAAGTTTGACAGCCAAAACATGTATAGAAATAATAAATTTCTTCTTCATACATTCTCCTGCAATACCCTGGTCCTGTAGAATGAGCCCTGGCATTTTTACTGTTATCGCCTGTTTTTCTGTAAAATCACAGAAAAAGAGAGCTGCTCTGGTCGAGCAGGTTGCTTAATGCGCGTTCACGCTCAGGCATAGCCCTCCGAACCGTTCTTTGAACGTTGTTTCAGCTGCGATCAAGAATATAAATGTTACAGACACAGAAGACGTCACTGGTGCTGTAGCTCGCCTAGTAAGACTTTGGGCTTTCGTGCAGAACACCTGGGTTTGATTCTGGGTGTGAACATAATTTATTTGGAGTTTCTTTTTTACATTAATGATATATTTTTTTACAGTAAGATGTCCAAATTTTTATTTGAGACTCACCGAACGGCATTCAATTCACAGATAAAAAAGATGTGGGTTCAACTTTCATTTTGGAACAATTTTTCAAGCAAGGGAATGGAATTATCTGAGCATGCAGGAAGACTGACCCATCATAAACCTTTGTCGGCTGTGCTGAAGAGAAAGGTACAGAACCAAGTTATTTAATTAATTAGCTGCGCGTTCTCCTGTCCTCTGGGCCAGACACACACACACAAGGGACTGTCTCAGCTGTTATTTTCGTTAAGGAGTGTGCACGTACAGCATGCGCGCCTCGTGCACGAGCCTACTGTTGAAGCTGCCGTTACGCTTTTGGCCTGAGGGGGCAATCGCGAGCATAAAAATCAAGATGAATATGAACACGTTAGTTTTTTATTATTAATCTCACGCCTCGTTTCAGTTTTGTCTTCCATACAAGAAATCTGTTTCTAAAATCATGGAAGAAGCGGATAACACAAAAATACTTCTCTAAGTCAGTGTGCTGGAACATTTCTCCAGGAACCCAAACATGAACATATCTAATAATGTCTCAGCCTCTATCTGGCACACTCTGCAGGTTCTTAATTTGGCTTTGGTTCTGTTGCGCTTTGTACCTCTCAGAGAAAAAGCTTCAGAACATCTGGCTGTATTGTTATCTGTGTCAGGGCTGAGCTGCTGTTTTCCAACCAAGTCCGCTGTGATTTTAAAAATATGGACCGGCGCTCCAACTCATGTGTCATTTAGAAGTTTAGAAATCTGCTCATTAAATCATCACCTCTGGTGTTGACGGCCGTTGGTGTGCTTGCTGCTGCAGAGCTGCGTCAGCTGAAGGAAATGAGTGTTTGTGTTACGTAACCCACACGTCACCTTCGTCCACACTTAGCTGCTACAAGTACAAGCAGCAGGCAGCATGAAATATGCAGGTGCTGGTCAAAAATTACAATATCATGACAAAGTTGATTTATTTCAGTAATTCCATTCAAAAAGTAAAACTTGCATCTCAGATTAATTCATTACACACACACTGATATAATTCAAATGGTTCTATCTTTAATTTTATTATAACTGATAACTAATGCAAATCAGAATATTAGAATATAGAATAACAGGTCGCTGCCTGATAGCTGTACAGTAAATGCTAAATGGCTTGTATTTGAAATAGCGCCTTCTAGAGTCCTGGAAACCCCCAAGGCGCTTTAAACAGTCATTCACCCATTCACACACTGGTGGGGGTGAGCTACAATGTAGCCACAGCTGCCCTGGGGTGCACTGAAAAAGGCGAGGCTGCCAAGCACTGGCACCACCTGTCCCTCCGACCACCAGCAGGCAACGTGGGTTAAGTGTCTTGCACAAGGACACAACGACAGCGACAGTCGAACCAGCAACCTTCCGATTATGGGGCAAGCACTTAACTCCTGTGCCACCGTCGCCCCATTGCTTCACCCCTGGGTGGGTCTGGGTTAGGGCATGGTGGATAGGGGTGTGAGGGCGGTCTTCCCCAGATGGGGATCTGGGCTGGGCCTGGGGAATTGGGTCCTGGCTTGTAAGCTGCCGACAAGAGGGCGGGAGCGTGCGGCAGTGCCTGGCCCTGGCTCGAGGGTCTCGGGTGGACCTTGGTTCCTCCTGAACTAGCAAGAACACTTCTACTTCATCTCGGGGGAGGGGGATGTCCAGGAGGGGGAGGACCCTACTTCACCTGGGTGTCTATGTCTCACGTAGTCTGGAAGTTGATCAAATGCGGGGATGGGAGTAGATACTCTGCTGTAACATCTGGATCTGACCACACAAATCAGGAGGCAGAGATTCTTGTGTTGAGATCTTTATATTTAAATCCATGAAGTATACACAATGCAGTCTACTCTAGAACAATTCCCACACGTTAATGTTGTCGGATGAGAAAGCTACGTTTTGGCATTTAGTAAACAAAACAGCAGCGCGACTGAGGAGCTCGGAGCCAAAAACAAAAACATTAAAAACATTGTGGATGAAACTGTAGCACAGCAGCAGGAAGGCAACATTAGTTACAGTTAGAGTAGAAAATCATAAAGAAATATTCAATGACGTTTATTTACAGCCCAGTGCTTTTAGACAGATCTCCGCTGATGTCATCACCTAATTCCAGCCAATCCGGCTTCAGTTTGTTTTAGTCAAATGAAAAGGTGCAGGTCTTACTTTAGTTCTTTAGGACGAGCAGAAACTGGATCCCTGTGGGGTCTCGGTTTTCACTCAGCTAAGTATGAAATCAGACGTGGAGACCCACATGCCTCGTGGATAACTTTAGAGCCCGTTTTTGACCTTTTGACCTGAGCTTTGACCCTTAGTGACATGGTTGTGATGCTCTGCGCCTGGTGGTCAGACTCATCCTGCAGTAACAGCTGACAGGTAATTTTATTTATCCACTAGTCTTTACATTTTAGTTCTTTGACATCTGCATGAATCAGTCTGGACACTTAAAATGTTTTAAGAACTTCTGACCTGTTAAGGTTCAATGTTTGCATCAGATATTTATCAACTGGAGCGAATAGAAAAGGTTTCACCAGGTGACACCAGAAAGGATCCTTTATTCCGTTAACTTCTTTTCTCTAATAAATCTAATGTTGCATCTGAGATCATCATAGCAACCTGTCCAATCTGCATCTATAATATATTTTAGCGCTGAACCAAGCAGCTGGTGACAAAACTAGGTGGGTTTTAACAGTGTGTTCGAGTGCTGTGGGAATTATCCATTTCAATCTGTGGTTTCCATTCGGACTGAGCAGATCTGAGGTTACTGTTTTTTTTTTGACATTGCACCATTCAGGAGGTTCATCTGTCTTCTCACCCTGAAGGTTTGTAGGGTTTAGAGCTTTTTAAGTTTCTTTGTGCTTAAAGACCCAAACCAGACAAACCTCGACTGTTGATTCATCTGATCTGAACACATTTACAGCTTAAAGTTTCCATAAATTACATAATTATAACCGACACGTTCCTTCTTTATCAACCTTCACATCAAGGCTTTGTCAGCAAACTTCTATTTAGCAGTTTTCATTTACATGTTTGAACATTAAAGGACACGAGAGACAACCCTACAAGCATGCACACACACACACACACACAGACACACACACACACACACACACACACACACACACACTTTAGTGCTTCTTTTTCTTGGGACTTCCGCAAATTCTCCAGCTTTCTCTCCCTCTCACTCACGCACGCACGCAAGCGCGCGCGCACACACACACTGCACGTTTCTGAACAAATTGAATCTGATGATAAACCAAAAACAAAAAAGCTGTGTTCGTAACGGCGTCTATCAGCTGTTGTACCTAAAACAGAAACATTTACAGGAACTTGTCGTGTTGTCAGTAGTTCTCTGCCGAGGAATGTCCGCATGTCCTCTCCGTCCCCCTACGGGTCTCCTAACATCAGCAGTACACAGATGGTCATTAATGAGTCTCCTCCTTTGGAAGTACGTTTTCTGTTATTATACGAGACAGATGAAGGGAGGAAAGTAGTACCACAGTCCTTCACTGAGGAGAATCTCTGATTTAACGGTTAAAGTTCTGGTCTGGTGGGTTTTGTTAGGGCTTCGGAGCGTTAGGCTTGATGAGTCACACTGAGCTGCAGACACGCTCCTGTAGAAACTGGGAGGGTCGGGTGGGAGGAGGAGGTTACTGGGTTAAGTGGTCTCCTTGCCCTGGGTCCCTGTGACGGTTTTGATGGAGCTGAGTGTTCGGTTGAACCAGGTCTTCTTGGCGGCTTGAACCTCATTAAGAGCGAGACCCAAATGGTGCTCCAGGTCCTGTTGGAGGAGGAAAACACGTCTGTGACCTTTTTACTGGAGATGATGGAGCAGGAAGTTAGATTCAACACCTGCATGAGTTAAAACAGGACAACTTCCTAAATGTGTGAAGACTTCTCTGGACGTTTTTAGATTATATTTACAATAAACTCTCTAGTACCTCACTCTGACTCTGATTACTCACTAGAAGACTGATCTCTTATTTTGAAAATCAGGCAGATGACACGTGTTAAAGTGTATTTCAGGTTTAATAATCAAAGTTCCTTTATTAGGACAAATCCTGTAATCTGTGTAGATAAAGTCTCTCCATGGACAGGGATCCATACCACTTGTGCATGTGCACGTGCATAGACAACATTATCAAAGTTTTAGTTTGAGAAGCAAATCTTGACCAGGACATAATTTTAGGTGCATCAGAATCAGCCTTTGGTCACATTTTATAAGTCTGAACAACATTCACTGGAATAGGTTTGGATGAATGACAGCTTTAACTGTAATCCTGAACTTCCTAAACAC